CAATGAACCATATTAAAGTCATAGTAGATTCCAATATCTGTTTCTTTTTCAGTGCTGATGATAGTCCCAAAGAATACAGGTCTCCTCTTGGGCCATTGACTAATTGGCTATGATTTACTTCAGTGGATTCAGGCTGATTTTGGGAAATAGGGGAGACTTATCTTCATGTACATAAGAAACAAACATGTAAACATATATTTGTGTCTTTTGTTCCTTAGAAGGATCATTTTGCTTTTGTTTGGAAAGATTATTAAAAAGAAGAAAGGACAAAACTTAAAATATATCACGTATTTGTATATTTTGCCCCTTTTTGTTGTGTGATATTTAAAGAAAGGAACTGATTTCATGGTTTGCATCAAAAGTCTCAAACGCAGTTGAGACTTCAATGTTTTTTTAATACTGTCTCATTGCTTCACTCAGGCATGCATTGTTCTTTCTATTTTCAAAGTGTAGAGTTATGCATTTGTCTCACTTGTCTGAAAATTGAGTCACGGCAACTGGACTTCTTTTTTTTGATTTGAAATGTTTAGTTGTACTTTCTTCAGATTTTCCTTAAAAGTAGACTTTAACTAATGATTTATATTATCAACGTAGTACTCTTCATTACATCTACTATGGAAAAGAGTCAGTTTGGTGTAGCGATTAAGGTACCAGGTTAAAAACTGGGAGACCTTGAGTTCTAATCTTGCCTTAGGGCAGGGGTAGGCAACTTTGGCACTTTTATGACTTGTGGACTTCAACTCCCAGAATTCCTGAGCCAGCCATGCTGAGGGGATGAAGCATGCTGGGTGGTCTCAGTTTAGTCACACTCTCTCTCAGCCAAAGGAAACAGGCACTAGCAAGCCAGTTCTAAACTCTTGCCAACAAAAATGCTGCAACTTGTCCAGGCAGTCACTAGGAGTCAATACTGACTTGAAGGTACACATACACATGCACATCCAGCTTGAGCTATCTGACATGCAAACTCAACTTTAAAAAACAAGAAAATTCTTTCATCATTGATATCATACAAAATTAGAGAAGTTTGCTCACTAGCTACGGACAGCTGCAAAGAACTCACATAATTCAGTTCCTTTTACTTGTATAAATCAGCAGATTCTAAGCCACGGACAATGCACATGTATATGTATTTCTGAACTAATAGGGTTAATAATACCAGATATGAAATATAAGTTTCCTCTAAATTATTTAGGCTGGCTGCACAAATCTCATTAAGCCATTGTTTGTTTTAACATGTTTTTTCCTGAATAAATCAGTAGCATTCATGTGATAGGCAAACCCATTAACCATCATGCCATCAGCTTATTTTTTCATCTCAGTTAATTGTAATTTCTTGCTAAGGTAGTTGAAAGCTCAGCTGCTGATCAAGAAATGTCTTTGTTCTTTGAATTATTTTTATGAACATGTAAAGTCTGTGTAGCTTGCTATATAAGAGAAAGGAGCAGAAGACTACAGATTCAGTGAAGAGCCAATGATATCTGAGACTCACAAATGTATTTGTGTAACCTAGGCTGCTTTGAAACAGCTTGTTCATCACAAACAGCTTGTTCAGCCTTCTTTTCTAAGAAGGGCCATGCCACATTCAGTTGATCATACTGTCTGCAACAGGAGACAACCCACTATCTTTCTAGGCAGTGTTTCTGGAGAATGTCTTCTTATCTCAGCCAATATGCTGCACCATCCTCAGTTCCCTAAATTTTACAAAAAGCAGAAAACAATACTAGATTGCATAACTGCTGTGCTGTTAAACTTATTTTAAAAAAAAGAAAAGAAAAGAAACTGTTGATGGTCATGATCCAATTTAGGCAGCTTTTAGCCGTAAAACAACAGGATCAAAATAAAGATTCACCTCCAAGCCCTGGTAACTAAAAGAAAGATAATAAAAACTCTTTAAAACCTTGGTTCTATAGCTGGACACCGCAGGTGGTCCTTGACTTATGACCATAATTGAGCCCAAAATTTCTGTTGCTAAGTGAAAACATTTGCTAAGTGCATTTTGCTCCATTTTTTACCACCTTTCTTGCCACAGTTGTTAAGTGAATCTCTGCAGTTGTTAAGTTGGTAACATGGTTGTTAAGTGAACCTGGCTTCCCCGTTGACTTCGCTTGTCAGAAGCTGATCACACGACCCCAAGGCACTGCAACCCTCATAAATATGAGTCAGTTGTCAAGCATCTGAATTTTGATCATGTGACCATGGGGATGGTGCAACAGTCATAAGTATGAAAAACTGTCATAAGTCACTTTTTTTCAGTGCTGTTGTAACTTTGAACAGTCACTAAATGAACTGCTGTAAGGACTACCTGTATTTTTGCTTTACCTTAGCCATCTATTTATGACAAATTTATTTTGTAGGAATTAGCAGTTAAATAAACAGTTAATGTGTATTTTTCTTTCTTATTGGTAAGATTTAAAAATATGTCTTAGTTTCAGAAAAGGAAACACAGGAGTTGGTTAAACAGAAACCAAACTGGGATCTCGGCAGAAATCAAGTAATAATTTTCTACTCTACAAAACAAATTACAAAATAAATCTGCTGCATTTAATGAAGGTACCAGAGCATTTTAAGCTACTGAACCATTCCAATCAAGCTCATTAACAACGAAAAGAGAAATTACAGTGTCCACCAAAATTGATATGTGGAAGCTCAGGATGTGTGAGAGTAGAGGGAGGCGGGGAGCAGAGCAACTTGTGACCTTCCCTGCTAGCTTCCCCATCGATTTTGGTTGTGGGAAGCCAGCAGAGAAAGTCACAAAAGGCAATCATGTGACCATGGGATGCTGCAATGGCCATAAATTCAAAGATTGGTTGTAATTACTCTTCATTTAGCACCATTACAACTTCTAAGGACTGATGAAGAGGTATTAGTAACTGAGGACTTCTGTATGCATAGAGCACGTCCACATGTTCTGCTAAGCCAGGTATGACAGTAAGAATGGGGTAGAAAGCTGTGGCATGCTAGATAATATCCATTTGTTAAACATCAGATGACATGTCAAATTAGAGCCAGCTCTTCTTCATCTTACATTTTGTTTTGTATCCCAGTTACTTTTGTGGCGATGGCTGCTTAACATGTCCTGCTTGTTGTTTTATTTATCCTTAAAAGGGCGGTGGGAGGGGGAACTATCTTGCCTCATTCCTAGTTAGGGAAAGCCAAGCATTCTGCCAGCCCCATGTGGAATATGAAACGGGGTTCTTAATGGAAATCCAAAATGGTAACAGTTGTTAATGCCATATTATTCACACAAAAGGATTCTCCTTTCCCACAATAAAATCTGCAAAACAATGCATTACTTTCTTACCTTTAAATTTGGATCGAATATTTGCCAGTTCTTTGTTTATTCTTTTAATCTCAGCTTCTTTGCTTTTACCTGAAAACACAGGGGGAAAAAAACCTTTCAGTTCAGAGTACAGTTGGTAACAGAAAGAACAGCCTTTAATATCACAATAATTTGAAGTGTTTTTCAAATTTGGCAACTTTAAGTAAACAATACCCCCAATTAAGAAACTGCCAAAGAAGCCAACAGTGAACAGTCCAACCACAGAATCCAGAAGACCACCCCTACCAACACTGACAGGCAAGCTGCTAGAAAATAAACTGATAGCAAACTGCACTCCTTACTAGCACTGATGATGTTACCTACTTAGGGTAATGAAACGTCTGCAAGAAAACGAGCAAGCTCAGAGAGCACCAACGATCCCTCTTGGCAACTTTAAATGTGTGGACTTTAACCCCAAGAACTGCCCAGCCAGAATGCAGGCTAGGGAATTCTGGGAGTTAAAATCCACATATCTTAAAGTTGCCAAGTTTGAAAAACACTGGTTTAAATCCCAGCTTCTTTCTCTCATCCTTTTGTAACAGATGGATTGCAAATCCCTTGAAGTTCCTGCTGTGCTAACTCTCTGACCTTTCTTCACAAAATGATCCTGTTTTGAATCTAGGACAGGCATGTCAAACAGGCCGGCAGTTTGACACGCCTGATCTAGGATCTGCCAACAGTAGCCCTTGATTAAAACTTAGAAACCTAAAATTTAGAAACCAATGAAACAGAAGATGATGAAGGAAAAAAAATACCAAGAGAAAGGGAATGATGCTTAAGGTTACATCAGGATCTTTTATAAATAAGACAGTGACAGCCGGCAACAAAATATAAAACTAATGGGAGTCAATGCATTTATGATGGATAATAAGTGTGACTAATAAACTTCCCACCAGCCAGATGACATTTATAGAGATTAATTCCAGCTTCTTGCTGGATGTAACACGTTATGCTGACCAATGTAAAAAAAAAAAACCTTTGGCCAACAGTACTTTTAAGGTAGAAACACAAAAATCATACCATCTTCTTTTCCATAGAGAATTGATAAAGCCATATCAAATATAATTATTTCACTTCATTGAAAAAACAGTGCTGACACAACCCAGCTATTATTATCCATGTTTTAATAACATTGTACACACAAAGGCACACACACATACACAGACAGACAGAAAGATAGATGGAGGAGGGAGGGAGGGAGATGTGTTTGTGTGTGTGTCCTTCAAGTGATTTTTTTTTTTTGAAAACTGAAGGATGTTCTTGATACTGTAAGTGTTGACTGGTTCCAAACACATTTCAAAGTGCTATTGCTTACATAATGGCTTAGCACTATGCCAAACTCTCTTGAAAATATGGAAGTTCACTTCCTGAAGTGAAAAATATGGAAGTTCACTTCCTGAAGACACCCATTCAATACCATTTGGGGGAGGAAAGGATATATTCCTTCAAGTTAATCTTGACTCCTGGCAATTGCCTGGACTAGGCCTGACGTTTTCTTTGCAAGGTTCTTTAGAAATGGTTTGCCACTGCCTGCTTCCTAAGGTTAAGAGAAACTGACTGGCCCAGGGTCACCCTGTTGGCTTTGTGACTAAAGCGGGGCTAGAACTCACTGTCTCCTGGATTCTAGCCTGATGCCTTAGCCATTGTCTTTTTATTTTATGCTTCTAAAGTTTTTTTAATGCATTTTTCTCTCAACATTTTTTTTATAAGTTACCTACACCAGAGGTCCCCAATCTTTTGGGCACCAGGGACCAGTTACGTGGAGAGAGGTTTTTCCACGGACTGGAGGGGGCGTGGTTTTGGGTGTTGCCTGCATCCTGTGTATGGGGCTTTCCTTGTTTGTGCGGACCAGTTGCTGGTATGCCATGGCCCGGGACTTGGGGACCCCTGACCTAGACATTTTGCTGGAAGGCAATTACACCAAATGTAATTAATATGTTTTCCTCAATAGATTTAATCATTTTGCCCAGACTTCTTTACATTACCAGGAAAAGGGAATCAACACACTGAACTTCTATCAAAAACAGTTCTTTTCCATTCCAGGCTGAACATTGACCTTCAAACCTTGAATAGTTCTGATTAACAGAAGGCTTATGAACTTCCTTTGAAAGGTCATTTAAACAGATAGGACTGTTCAGTGACGCTCTTTCTACTAATGTTATAAGAACCAGTGAAACTAAGTATATTGTAAAAAAGACAACAATGCCTCTCATTTTCATACAGTGTGTGAACAAAAAAAAAGAAAGAACTCATTGCATTCCTTAGCTTATTTCTTTCAGAACAGCTCCTACCTATAAAGCACCCAAATATGAAAGTAAAGCTGGAATATCTGTCTGTACATTTAAAAACTGAGGAAATCCAGCATGCAAGATCAGAACAAGTTCCAATTCTTTTGAACTCCTGGCAAGAAACAGTTTGCCTTTTCTACCTGCCTATCTAATAAGGCACACACTGAAATGGTATGAAGAACTGTATGTGCCTGCACACTAATTTTAAAGACACTAAGGCAACTTTTAAGTCATATTTTTAGCAGTCTGGTGGGAGACTTTAAAAGATAGCTCAAAAAGTGAAGGACATAATTGTGTAGCAAAGCAGGTCATTTTATTATTATTATCAGAAGTCTAAGACTATGTCATTCAATGTTGCAATAGACATGATCCAGGCTTATTAAAAATGTTCAATGTACAGTTGCATTAAATAAGGACTTACATCCTAGTTTTATGACTATGTTTATGAGATATGATCAGTTTGTAAAAAAACAACACCTCTTGCCATGAATTCAATTCCATTTTAAGTTTTAACTCATTAATATGTTATTGGGTTCTTAGTCTTCTCCAAGATTGCTTTTCTTCTTACTGATGTTCATTACTAGACAAGGTAACAGGAAACAAAATGTCTGCAAGAAAAAAAGCAAGCTCAGAGAACACAAAGAACACAACAATTCGGTTCTGAACTACATTCTCGCAAATTGTCTCTGTACATATTGCATCATAATTTAGTCATTGCAAATCATCTAATAGAGTCGAGGCTGGTTACAGCTGTTAATTACACCAGTATGCTTTAAAAGCATTTTTTTAAAAGTTTACAGATGCATAATAACTGTTATTCAGTCCTAATTTATTAGTTCTAGAAGCTACAGGCCTTAGAAGTCTGAAAAACAAGCCATTCCCTTGTGCCTTTGTGCTTTATTTTGCATGATTTGCTCTCAGCAGCAGAGAACAAATTTTGCTGATGGGCTCCCTATAGATTGAGAATCAGAGGAAGCTCTATGATGCAGTAAAGATGGCCAATTCCTTGTTAACAGCAAACTACCACGTGTAAAAAGTCCATGACTCCTTAGTTCAGCTGAAAAATCAGTTTTCAAGCTGACATGAAACAGGTTTTTGCCGTAAACCTACCAAGTTCACACCAATGGTCTGCTCCTCTCACTCTTGGGAACAGGGAGAGAAAAGAGTTTTTAAATACATTGCTTTTCTAGGTAAAAAGAACAACCTCAACAAGTACCCAGTTGAGCTTCAGATTAAACAAGAGTAATGGAGGTTCAGAAGTTCAGTGTATCAGTTTAATCTGGTTCTACAAACAAGCTTCTTCTACCCTCATTTGTAAGTTTCTATCATTGTAAAGAATTGCAACTAAATATTTTAATTGGTGTAGATCAACCTTGGCACAAAAAAGCAAGAGCTGATAGCAAAGCAGTACAAGTTCTTTAGTACCACTCAACTCAAAATCTGAACTGCAGCAAAATGATTGAATCTAGGAAAAGTCTAAAATGAGAGGACTTTATAGCCACTCCAGCAAGTGTAGCAAGTCAACATACTAGAAGAGAAAAGCAATGGATTGTTCCCAATAAGCAATGTTTGTCTTTGCTGTCTGTCCTCTTCATCAGGTCAAGGATGAGCCCTAATCAACTAAGATCAAAGGAAAGCTACAATGTATGTTCAGTTAGAATCAGCTTCTTGTGCAATATTTTGTTCAAATGAATTTCAAATAAAAAGCAGGGCTTTGTCATTCCCACCCCCACCAAGCTTTATTAACCATTACTGGATAACATTAAGATTTTTACAAATTACATTGGTTATGTGTATTTCATGTTAGCAAAATTACTATGCTTTTGTACCTTTCCTTAAACTGTATGAAATTTTGTATTACACTATGCTTTAATTCGTCTCTATTTCTATCTTATACCCTTTAAGGAACTCACTGTGGTGTATATGCATGTCTTATGCATTCATTTGAGGGAAAATTTCTCCTTTATAAGGAATAACTTGTATTGTTTACGTTCTTTAATTTGAATGTGATATTGCTTCTGTGTGTGTGTGTGTGTGTGTGTGTGTGTGTGAGAGAGAGAGAGAGAGAGAGAGAGAGAGAGAGAGAGAGAATCACCATCATCATGATTAGGAGTCTAGGGGACAACACTTGTGTAATTTCATTGTAAATGGTTTCTTTCTCCCAGTATATAAAATGTATCAATTATGTTTTAACAGACCAGAGAAGTTTTGGATGATTCATTAAAATAATCAGCACTTTGGGTAGCTCCTTCTGTAACTAATAGTCAACCAACACCTCAAGGGAAAATTCACTAAATCCTCAATACAAGTTCCAGAAAGTAAAGCTAATTATAAATAAGTTTCTTCCAGTACTAAACTGTATTTTCTTCAGATGATAGCAGCTTTAACAGGTTAGACCTTATCCGGTAGTCTCTTAATATTCATTATATAGGCTACAAACCAACAATGTTAAAATATTCTACTTTCTTCTTTGTTCAAGGACTAGCCTAAACATAAGGTTTAGAAGTACAGTGAGCAAATAAGACCCATCAAGATCCATTGTATACTTTGTTTTATAAGAGTGACTCAAGTGTTACTTTTACTGATTTTATAGTTTTTCTTGAATATCTACTATACTGCAGCAGAACTTGTTGAAAACAAAACTGCAACCACACCTTCCATTTCAACAGGGGATAGTAAGGAAGAGGAAAATGAAACGATTGTTAAGAAAAAAGGCAGCACAAAATAAAATTCACTGTTTCGCTAATGGTCACCTAACTGGAG